GGGGGGGTGGGGGGGGGGGGGGTTTGTTCTTAAAAGCAAGGATCCTCCGGTTCATGTTAAAGATCTCCGCAAGCTGCTTTCGGTATGCTTCTCTTGAAGGTGAATTGGCCGGAATCTTTTTAGCTTTACATCCTTCGGTCACCATAAAATGTGCATAGTCAAAATCCATTGCAGATCTATTAGGAATGAACCTGTCCCACTACATAAAAGCAACCCAAAAGAATTCAGTAAGTCAATTATAACCCAAAAGAATTCAGTAACTCAAATTGAAGGTTTCAAATGGTAACCATATCCTCGATGAACGTATCATCCAACAACCCAAATAAAATTGGAATAAGGTTACTTAATGAATTTCAGAACTAGATACATAAAACCACAGTGACAATGAAATTTAGATCAACTGCCCAGATGGAAGAACAGAGACCTTTTTCATGGGATACAGACCAGTTTGCATCAAATGTCTAGATGAAATTTACATCAATTCACGCAGGGTAGAGATGACATACATTTTCATGGAAGCTTTTTCTCTGACGATACTGCTCCTGAAGAAGAAAACGACTGGATCCAGTCATGTTCGATGCCATAGAGTTTCTTAATCCTGCATCCATCACGTTAATAACACACAAACAAAAAGAAGAAGCGAAAAACAACAGCTGTAAACAGAAATATATATTCGGAAAGAAAAGGGCCTGCAAAAAAAATATTAGACCGTTAAGGGATCAAAAAAATTAATCAAAATTGAATGTAGAATAAAGAACGACAGAGATTCAAAGTATCAAGATCGAAGATCGAGAGCGTTTGGGAGATCGATTGAGAACAGATTCAATGTAGCGAGTGAGAGCAAGAGAGAACAGAGAACGGAAGGGGATTGAGAATGGTTCGCTTCAAACTGTTCTAGGGTTTAGTGACGCCGTTTGGCAAAAAAGAGTCGTTGTAATTTGCTTGGACTAAAATGCCCATCCGAGTCATGGGGGTTCCAGCAACTCTATGATTTGGAAAAGGATCTCTTAATTACGCTCATTAAAATATTAAATTATTAATTACACAATATAAAAACTATAAACTAGTAATAAATATCATAATCATCTTGCTAAACCAGAGCCTTCCTGTCACGTTTGCTACGCCGTATGTGCACCTCATTTTCAGCCATATCTTCATCCTCCACTACTCTACTGTCAGCCCACTTGCATCACTATCATTTTAGCCATAGCATTATCTGAACTAGCAAAGGTCAGAAGCAAATAGGATATAAGAGATGGACCAGTTCTGTTAGAAGTAAATGATTTGGTGTAACTGGAATCAAAGATTGATCAATGTATCCCAAGTTTTGTTGGAAATAAATGGTTGATTTACCTCATCAGAGATAGATCAATATCCTAAGCATTCCATCCCCTCCCCTTCCCATTCAACTTTCACTCTTGAGTAGAGCCTAACAAATGCTTGAACCCCTTGTCTTGAAAGCCTCCAATAGCACTAAAACAATTAGAAACACAGAATGTATAACATAATATAGTGAGAATGCTCCAATATATAAAACCAGGAATGACCAAAGTACTCTGTAAAATATTGAATGCCA